TCAGCAACACTTGCCCAGGTGTGCCATGGGGAGGGGAAAGTGCCCCAAAGGCCTTGAGGGGAATGCGTGAGGGGCTGCGAGGCCACCCTGTGTATCCAGTGCTGACTCCAGTTTGTGAAAGTGTGGTTGCCTCTGTGAGGATCCCTGAGAAACTCGTCCTCGGAGATGGCCACAAACACTCTCCCAGCCATCTGTGTCCTGCTCGTGCATTGGAAGATCAGCAGAGAGCAGGGCAATCCCACCAAAGCATGACTGAGGACGATTCCCAGGAGCTAGGTACCCCACCAGAGTGCCTTAGATTGTTGGAGATGGGTTTGGTAATTTTTATCTTGTAAACAACATCATTGTGGTGGTTAAACAGTTTTGTATTGTAAATGATTTCTAGGCTAAAAATCATGGTCGAGTTGAAGCTTCAACTGTCACCATGTTGCAAGGGGTTGCCATGGACTACGGGCCAAGGAACCAGTGTCAGCTGGGATTGGACGGTTCATGGCACCACAGCAGCTCGACCAATCCTTGTTCTGCCCTGTTGCTGTCCTATTCCTTCATGCATATGCATGTATTCCCTACCTATCCTTGTGAGTGGATTTGCATGCTCCATCTTCCTTCCAGTATTTTCCCTACCGACCCCTATAAAACCCTCCATTTTGTTAATAAAGTTAGTTCAGCCTTGTGCTGCCCTCTGTTCCACACCTATCTTGTCTCCTTGCCTCTCACTACTGAACTGCGTGAGTGAGCGAGAGTGTGTGAGCTTAGGCTGGCCGGTTGCTTCTTTGCATAATCATCTCACTGAAGAGCAACGAACCCTGGAGCTGGACTGCTCCTTTCCTTGACACACCGAACCGTGTCAGTGGGATGCCCTGGGGCTGCAACCCCACATCCCGATCCCATCCCTTCCCAGTGGCTCCATGTGGGAAGGCAGCCCCTGGCACTGCTGGCCATGTTGGACCTGGGCAGAACCACAAACTCTGTCCATGCTCCTTCTCTTTGCCAGGAAATTGTTTCATTTTTGGGGAAAAAAACCAGTAAAAATGGAACAGATGAGAGGTTTCCTGGAGAGGGCAGCAGCTGCAAGGGAAACTGTCTGAAAATCCAAGGAAACTGCACACCCAAACATACCACTGTCCCTTCCATGTAGGAAACTCTTTCCATTTCAGGGCACTTGGGGGGAGTGGTTCACAGACCCTTTCCAGAGAGGGAGAGCTGCCAAATTCCCACCTCCCCTCAGCCCCCAGCAGCGAAACAAGGTGCAAACTTGGCCCCTGAAGGCTTTCTGTCCTCTTCTACTTCTGCCCTTGCTGTCTGCTGGAGGTGGGGACATGAGGGGGCCCTTTCTGCTCCCCTGCCACGCTTAAATTGCCTGCCCCAGAGAGAACCTTCTGTGTCAGAGCTCTGTCCAGATGCAGCAGGTAGAATGCTCTTTCCCCTTCCCAGCAGATGGGCAGGAGAACAAAACCCCAACTTTCCTACCACGAGTCGTAGCCAGAGAATGCAGCGGATGAGTTACCAAACCCATCTCCAACATATCACCCTTTTTTGTTTTATAACTTAAAATTAAAATTAAAAGATTATTTCATAAAATAAATTCTTCAACTGATATTGTCTAGGTTAATATGAATAATAAATAGGGCAAAAAATAATTATCATTTATGTTGAATAGAGTTAGACATTTAGGCTAAAATTACAAAATAAAATATGACTTTACATAATAGTACATTAAAAATTAGTTTATAAAAATATAAGATATATGTATATGTTTATGAAAATGAATAATCTTGTGACTAAAAAATTTTTTACAATTAAGCAATGATGATGTGTGATAGAAGTTGGTTAACAAATAAAAAAATAAGCTGTAAAGAATAATACCTAGTGAAAATCTGATAATGAATAAAGATAAAGCTAAGAATTTTTGGATGGTGTTGTGATGAGATCGACTTCAAAGATGTTGTAGTTTGATTTGATTGGTGTTGTTTTCTAGAAGAGAGTACTTTTATTTATGACAATTGATAGTGGTAGCATTTGTGTATATTGTGATTTGTAGTACTAAACATGAAGTTATAATAACTTGGGAAAATAAGAACTTGGTATACCTTCAAACTTTTTAATACCTTAAAGGCTTTCAAGCTATCACACACTCACTGTCTCTCACTTCATTCATGGAGGCCTCCTTTCATTCACACAAGCACACACTTGAATTCACCTTGCAACGATGATAAATGAAATTTGATAATCTACAAATTATAATGTTCATTTTCATACTAAAGCCTAAGTAAGACATGCATGTCTTTAAAGTAACTGTATGTTTAAAAGACTAAAAAGTGTAACAAAAACAACAAAAAAATTACTATAGACAAAAGATAAAAAAGGTAGTTATGGATATTTTTATTCCCCCTTTTCTCTTTATAAAAAGGAGTGGAATATGAAAAAATGTTTGACAAGATGTTAGTAAGAGATGTGAAAAAGATAGTATATTTTATGTTTATTTTAGACAATGCTTTATCAACTTGCCTTGATGTTATTATGTTTAAGGCCTTTAATGTAAATATATAAGGTAAGGATCAAATAATAAAATCAGAGGTAAAGTTTTATATAAAAATGGTTATCCATATATAAAATAACATACCAGAAATAAGTATTTAAGTGTACAAAATTACACAATTAAAAACCAGCACTTGTTGTGTAATTCATCACTGTTGCAACATGAGTGCCTTCTTATCTTCTCCGGAGTGAAATTAGGGTTGGCGGATGTCCCACAAACTTTTGAGTTTGTGTCCTGTATACAAAAACTTAATAAAGGTATTATTAACAAAATATATAAACATAATTATTATTAATGAAATATACAAAACATAATTATTATTAAACTCAAAAGAGTAGCTGCAAAATTATAGTATAGTCATGACTGCATTTCGAGTACTCAAATTATTAGCATGCTTTAGGAAATAGTCTGCAATTAAAACTATTTACAAATATCACGACCCCTTGCTGTTGATTTTAAAAGTAGATGTTTCTCAGTATCTGCGCATTGACGGGTGGTTGAATGAAGAATCAGCTATGGCGTTTTATGACACCTCCTTTCTCGCAGTGCAGTGCCCTCCCTCCAAGATGCTCTGCCCTGGGCAAATCCCAAAGCAAACACAAACACCCCTTAGTGTTATTTTTCCATAGACAAGCCCTCTCATGGATCACGGATTTACACCACTCTTCCTTTACACCAAAGCATCGAGGGGCTGAGCACCCCGATTCCTTCCTTGTTCCAACCCACAGGTGGTGGGAGCACCTCTGGGCGACCCTGGCACACTTGGAACAGGCTTGGATGGGGCATCCCAACTTTAGAGTGAGGTGGTGCAGCTCTTGAGCACAGCTTGGGGAAACTGTCCACATGAGGAAGAAATGGTTTGGGCAATGGTGTTCGGGGCAGTGCTGGGCATGGGAGGTGGGGAGAAGTGCTGGGGTCAGGCTTTGTGACCTCGAGTGAGGATGATTGTGGAAACCAAATTCATCCTGTCAGCAAGCCAAGGTTTGCTGAAAACGAGTCCCCTCCTTAGGGTTAACCTTGTCCTAAAAGTGTGAGGTTACATCTGTGGCCCCAGTACTTGAGAAGATCCGGTGACAATCTCTCCATTTTCCATCAATTCCTTTGCCTCAAACCGGGAGGCAAACATGTTCAACCCCTCGCCAGACAGAAATAGGGCTCATGAGCCTGATTTTGGGGACAGGTGGGCAGGACTGGGGATGGGAATCAGAGCCACAGAAAGACCACGGCAGAGGCGTGGTTCCACCTCCAAAATAGCACATGTGCTGGTAAATGCCATTTGAGCACATTCTGGGCTATTTCATAGGATATAAGCAGAGATATAGATGATTTGTAGCACGCATATTGAACCCTATTTTGTGTCTATATTGAATGCTGTATTTTAGATATACTGCAGCTGTGTCAGGGGAAGGTTAGGCTGGATCTCAGGGAAAGGTTCTTCCCCCAGAGGGTGGTTGGAACTGAACAGGCTCCCCAGGGCAGTGGGCACAGCCCCAAGGCTGCCAGAGCTCAAGGAGTGTTTGGACAACACCCTCAGGGATTGGGTGGGATTGTTGGGTGTCCTGTGCAGAGCCAGGAGTTGGACTGGATGATCCTTGTGGATCCCTCCCAGTTGAGGATATTCCACGATTCTGTGCTATCTCTTTCTGTCCGCACTGTTTGCTCTGCATAGCAGGGGATTTTATAGGGAGCAAGGATAAAGGAACTGCTGTAAAACTATGAAAAACCTAAGCATAGTTTCCCCTGCAGTGCCTGCCCAGGGCAGTAGAAGGAATCCCCTCAGTTGCCGACACAGCCGCAGTGGGAAGGGCATGGGGCCTCCACAGAAGCTGGCACGGGCTCCTTGGGAGAAGTTGCTTAGTTTTTGAGCTGTGTCTAAAGTTCATGTCCAACTGTCTTAGATTCTTTGCCAGATCCAGGACTGGATCGGACACAAAAACAGGACCATGCCCGTGGCCGCTTCAGCAGGGCAGCACAGGTACCTGCAGCCATCGCCTCCTGGGCTGGGCCTGCTGTCCCTGCTCAGCCTGGCACTGCTGATGGAGCTCTCCATGGCACATCATCCTCTTCCCTGCTCTCCATTCTCCTGCAGGCCTTTCTGAAATTCCTGGGCATTCAGCGTAGAAAGACCAGGACCTCACCAGTTGAGGCCATGGCACAGGCTGACACCAGGCTGACTAAGATGAAGGCAAAGCCTGATGTCGGCACTGTGCCAACTGATCTTACAAGCAAGTCTGTCCCTGCCTTGGATAATCACACCAGAAACTCTGACACCACACGGAATGATCAAAGAAGGAAGTCTGACACTGTTTGGACTGATGACACAACAAGCACTGACACCCCATCGACTGATCGCATGGCAATCTCTGACGCCGTGTTGACCGATGAAGCCACAAACTCTGACACTGCACTGCCTCATCTCACTGCGGAGGTTGCCACTACAACAACAACTGTCAGCACTGACTCCACGTCCAGTGACAGTCCGATTGATTCTCCCATTTGGGATTATTTTGGGGAGAATGGTGTCTCCAGTCCAAAGCAAGTAAGCAGCCTGTGGCCAGGGCTCCAGCCACCCTAGGGTGGTGTGACCCTTCAAGCCGGCTCCCCTGGGCCCACTCAGCCTTTGAGGCCAGCACAGTCTGGTGGAAAGGGCAGCATTTCTGGGGGAAGCCTGGCAATTGGCTTCCTCTGGCAGTTCTCCCACTCTTCCCCATTCCCGCCCTCCCACTCTCCCCCATTCCCCCTTCTGGGACTTGGTGACCAAGAGTTTTATAGGCCAGGTACCATCAGCCATCCCCACCTGCTCAGCGAACACCACCATTGGAGCACTCGATGGGACATCCCTCTCTTCCCTGCCTTACTTTCTCCCACAGATGTTTAGGAACTTCAGAGGCACTCGACACAGACATACCCACACCACGCTGACTGGGGGCACGGGGAAGGCTGCTGTCAGCATCAGGCCAATTGACACCACACCCCCTCAGAGCCTGGCTGATGCTCCTGGTCTGGACTCTTCTGAGGAGAAAGTTGTCTCTGCAAAAGTAAGCAGCCTGAGGCAAGGGATCATGTGGACCCTCAAGATGGGTCTACTGGGCCCCCTCAGCCTTTGAGAACAGCACAGTGTGGTGGGAAGGGAAGCACTTCTTGGGAGAAGCTGGGCAAGTTGCTCGCTCTTGCAGCTCTCCAACTCTCCCCCATGCCCCCTCCAGGTGCAGACCTTCATGAAGAACATGCATCAGAGACTGACAGCCAAGGTGTTCCCAGAGAACAGACTGTTCATGGACTTTCTGAGGCTGACTGATACATACCCCACTGATGTTGCCTTGACCCTCCTGCGCTGTTCCCCATCATGTGACAGGTATGGGGCCCACCTGCCTTCAGGGCTTGGGGCTTACCAGCCTTTAGAGCCTGTCCCACGTGCTCTGCCAGACAGATGGAGAGATCCAGGACACTCTGGCCCTTGTATTTCCCAGCCCTGGTGTTTCATCCCCCGATCCTGCTGTCATGCTCCCTCCTGGCCCCTCAAGGCACCGTGGCTCTGTCTCCTGGGCTCCTGCAGCTGCCCAGGACACGGCCCAGTGGCTCACACTCCCCTGATACAGAGCTCTGTCCCTGCAGAGCTGCTGCAGTCATGTGGAGGACCATAGCCTTGTC